ATCAGGTGACCTAACCTTTCCCAAAAAGCACATGACATTGATTTATCCCTGCAAATATAGCACTTCCTCGGGAATATGACGGCAAGCAGGAAACAGATTGGTAAGAAGGTATGTGAGATAACAGAGCTGGAAATGTTGAGCAACGTGATGAATGACAGAAAGATGGAAATCTGGAACCGAGGCAAGCGATGTGAGACATACTACAGGGGGCTGATATCGCTGGAAATAAGTCCAACCTGAAAGCCTTCGAGCTTCTTCATGTTTCGCTCAATTCATTTAAGTTCAACTATAAACACAGACACACAGAAACATATATAAATACCACATGGCCACATAAAAAAAACAAGGCTGCCACAAATCTGTTCAAATCTTTAAAAGAAAAGATTTGAAAGTGGAGACTTTGTCTAAGCAATATAAGTGGAAAGTAGCAGCTAACCAGCCTGCAGCTGAGCTGATAAATGTGCACAGATGTTGGATTAAGTCTTTATAAAGCTGTTAACATGCAAACATTTGATTATTATCAAATCCCAAATGCAGTACATTAAAAACAAACCACATGCCTGCAGGAAACACTCAAACAAGTCAGAGTAAGGCAGAGGTGTGAATAATATATTTAGCTGTACACTCAGGTGGGAGTTTTTTGTTTATTCTTGCCACCTAGATCTAGGGACAGTTTAAGATTACGTGTTTGACGGTAAGGTTATTGAACTTGAGCTTAAGGATTAATCTTTTCTCGCATTTACAGGTGATGCAAGAGGAGACTGAATCTGCCTGAACATGCCCACCTCTTCTCCAATGGGAGAAGCACACATATGAACTTGAGGAACATCCCATTCTTAATCCAAAGGCTTTAATTTGATGTCAACCCACCCTTTGCAGCTATAACAGCTTCAACTCTTCTGGGAAAGCTTACCACAAGGTTTAGGAGTGTTTATGGGAATTTTTGACTATTCTTATGGGAAGTGCATTTGTGAGGTCAGACACTGATGTTGGACAGGAAGGCCTGGCTCACATCTCTGTTCTAGCTCATCCCAAAGTTGGGCTGAATGTGCAGGCCAGTCAAGTTTTTTAACACCAGACTTGATCATCTATGTCTTTATGGACCTTGCTTTGTGCACTGGTGCACAGTCATATTGGAACAGGAAGGAGACTTTCCCAAACTCATAAAGCTGGGACAATGAAGTTGTCTAAAATTTCTTGGTATGCTGAAGAGTTGACCCCTTAGTTAAGGGTCAAGTGCAACTTCTAAAAAGAATAAAAACACAACATAATCCCCCCCCCCCTCTACCAAATTTTCCACTTGCCGTCATTTCCAATTGCTTCCACTTTGTTATAATAACACTAACAGTTGACTGTAGAATATTTAGTAGTGAGGAAATTTCACAATTAGACTTGGTGCACAGGTGGCATCCTATCACGGCACCACACTGGAATTCACTGAGCTCCTAAGACCGACCCATTCTTAGACAAATGTTTGTAGAAGCAGTCTGCATGCCTGAGTGCTTGATTTCAAACACATGTGGCCATGGAAGTGAATGGAAGTGAAACCCCTGAATTCAATGATCTGGATGCATGAATTAAGGGGGTTGGATTTTATGCTACATTTAAATGTCTCTAATGTGATCATTGTGGCTGCTGTACAGACTGAGATTTTACACAAAATCAAGCAGTTTATAAAATATATTATGGGTTTATGAATATGCTGCAGATAAATAGGCACCTTTGATCAGATTCAGTGTTATAATACTACTGCTAATGTCTGTTTAAGTGCTCATCCAGGTCATGGTAGTCTAAGGAGCTTGGATAGAAAGCAACTGCACTTCTTCAAGTTTCTTAAAGATGTTTCACCTCTTATTTAAGAGACTTCATTGGTTCTAAAACCAAAAGACGGACAGTCCTTTAAGTTGCTCTTTGACTCACTATTAATCATGTGCCTTATCACATGAACCAAAGTGTGAAAAAGGCGTGGTTCATTATCAGCAGAGGTTTCGGGTGAAACTACTGTCTCACCCCATCAAATGTAAAAATGTATTCAAGAAACTTAAAGAAGTCTTTCTGTCCAAGCTCCCAAGATTGCTGCTTGTACAACATACAGTATGCTACATGATGCATCAGTAATAAATATCCAATAAACAACATATAACAATGAAAGGGTTCATTTCTGTGTTAGCATTTGATGCTTAAAAAAACTGTTGTTGCAAACATATTTTAATGCTTGCAGCGTCACCACTTCTCATTCTGATGACGTTGCTACTTTTTCTTAGCTCAAGTTAGAGAACAAAAAACCACTTCTTTCACTTAGCAATCCCTGGCCTCAATCCCACTCTTAAAATAAAAACTCCTACCGCTCACATTTCACACACAAAGTTTGGTCGTGAACAACTCTGGCTCTCTGATATGGTACAACTGTGAAACAGGCTTCGGGAGGTGAGAAGCATCACGCTGCTGGACACACATAGTTTGATGGAACAAGTGGAGTGGACGGAGTGAGTGAGTCACGAAGCATCAGAGCTGTTGACGGGCCCATCCGTCAGCGCTCTGAAATAGCCATGCGCCAGGACATCACACGCACACAGTTGATATATAAAAAGAAGAACAAGAAGTTTAGTCGTGAGATAAATGGTGAAGAAAAGCACACAGGACCCTCAGAAACACTGAACTGAAGTTTGTCTAATATCTGCAAAGGTGAATGTTGCTGGCACTTCCAAATGAATTAGACTGGTTTATGCACCATTAAAAAAGCTGAACCAGCCACAAACAATTTATCAGCAGCAGATCAGGCATGTCCATATTCAAGGCAAAGCTTGAAATGTACATTATTTCTTGAGAAATGACCTCAGTTTATTGCAGTGTTTGTGCTTAAATGCATCACTGTTGCAAATAAACATTCAGAAAATATCTTAAAAATAAAATAACTCATCCTTAATGCCATGTCAGTCAGTTTCACAGTGCCAATATGTGGACTTTGTCTACATTTGTCTAAGTCTCGTATACAGTGCAACTGGAATGTATTGACAGTGCTTCACTTGTTCCACATTTTGTCCTGTTACGGCCTTTTTCCAAAGTGGATGCAATTATTTTTTCACCTCAAAATTCTACACTACACCCCATAATTTATTAATTTATTAACAACAGAAGACAAAAATATAACGTGTATACAAATATTAACAGCCTTTGCTTCATTGCTGCAGAAGTTTTTCTGTACTCTTCCCCAGATCTGTGCCTTGGTATAATCTTGTCTCGGAGGTGTACAGACAATTCCTTGGACTTCACGGCTTCATTTGTGCTCTGACATTCATTTTCAGCTGTAGGAGGACCTTATATAGACAAGCACGTACCTTTCCAAAGCATGTCCAATCAACTGAATTTACCACATGTGGACTCCAATCACGGTGTAGAAACATCTAAAAGATCATTGGTGGAAACAGGGGGCACCTGAGCACAATTTTAAGTGTTATGGCAAAGGCTGTGAATACTTCTGTACATTTATTTTTAACAAATTTGCGAGAATTTCAAGCGAATATCGAGAGTAGAATTTTGAGGTGAAAAATGAATTGGATCCATTTTAAATAAGGCTGCAACATGACAAAATGTGAAACAAGTGAAGCACCGCGAATACTTTCCAGATGTGCTGCACTCTCACATCCACACCTTTGGCCTGCTTAGATTTACCAGTCAACCAAATATGCATGCTGTAAACCGAGTCCCTTCAAGTCCACAAATACCCTAGCAGATAAACTAAAACTGAGCTGTGTTGATTACAGTAAGAGGACTTAAATAAAGGATAATTTTAATAAGATAACCCTAATAACAAATTTCCCACGTGTAGGACTAATAATGGTTATCTTATCTTATATATCAGGCAGATCGCATGCTTTCCTAAGTATCACTGATAACTTCTAAAGATGAACAACTCGATTTGGTTAGGTCTGTTTGTGCAAACGTAACAACTGAGGTATTCAAAGGGGGAAGTGAAAGCCCTGCAGCCCTCATTACATGACAAGTTCTCTGCTCTGCTGTTGCTCTCGCTGTAGCCACCCCTACTGATGAAAAGAAGAACTGCACCGTTCACTGTTAAGGCATGACATGCAAGCCGTGTGCTTTGTTGCAAAGGACTTTGTGTTATGAGTAAAAAAGGATAAAAAGTAATCCTCTGGGATGAACATGCTTACTGCAAGCTTGAAACACTATCTTCTCCTTGAAGGACAAACCCCAGCAGGTTTATCCCTCATTAAATCCTTCGTTTGCTGTTCCGAGAAATGCCTCGGCACCTCTAAATTACCGACTGCACCGCTTATCGTCAGTCACGTGACCACCCGCTCCTTAATTGATGAGAAACTTGGTCTTTAATGAGGCTCGCGCTCTCCTCTGGATCGTTTCTTCTTCAGCTCCGAAATTTAACACCCGTTGCTATGGATACAAAACAACTGCAACTACCCAAATATGGTCAAAGGAACTGAAACGAAACGGCAATCGCGTGCTGACGTCACGCACAGCACGCATTGCGCTGCCGTGTGTGCGCTCGGATTCCCTTGACCGTGACAATAGTGGAGCAGAGAGCAGGCTGTGAATAAATAATTAACCTGCTGTTTGCGCTGCTTCCCACTCAATTCAAACACGTCTCCGTCCACGACGCGTCTCCTTTATGTAATCCCGAAGCCAGAAATAGGCGCAATGCCGTCTTTATGGATTGATACTGAGACGAGAACATCATTAATACCACCCTTAAATTTAGGATTTTTCTTCTTCTGACGTTTTAGTGAGTGTTTGGTAGGTCAGATTCATATTTAAACTGGGTTTAAAGCAGTTTTATTACAGATGAAGTTTGCATTGAAGGTGTTCAGCTTTTCTTCGTCCCCCTCCCACCACATTTCTAAGGCATCTCATGGTTTCTTCATCTGCTGAGGAACTTCATGTAAAGTCACCAACTAAGCAAGGCTGTGGTGCCGACTATCTATTCATATAAATGCTCCTAAATCAATAACAACAGCAGCACAGCATTAATTGCAGTTGTGGTATTTTATTTCCAGCATATTTTATCAATATCTAGTTTCTAGTTTTCTTTTGTTTCTGATTTTGTTTGTTTGTTGTTGATTTTTTTTGCATCTCTATATTTTCATAAGTAAAAAAATAAACTATGTCATAAAATACATCTCAATAAAATACATGGCATGATCTTGTTTTTCATGGAAAACAAATGTAAAAGGAAATGTCAGTTCAGGTCTGGAGGCGGGGGGAGGGGGGGCACCTTACAGCAAGATGTTACACTTACATATTAGTATCCTTCTATAATTCACTTGTTACAACACAGCTTTGTCAAAAACAGTGTTACACATATGTTAAGCTACTCAGCAGGATCTCGTTTCAGACCACACGCAGAGCTTTTTTTTTTTTTAACAACACAATACCATCTCTTCTTGGATTACAGATGACTTGTATTTGCATGCATTTTACTAGCACAAGGTCTCATCTCAGACAACTGCAGCAACAGCATGGAAGAACTCAACCGTGTTTACAGTCACAGAAAAACACTGCGTCTACACAATCTCTGATTTTCAGGTATATGCACGACATCGAAACTCACACTACAAAAGGTTATTTGAGAGCGACTGGAGCTTGCTGGCTGGTTAGAATACAGTATTGTTGCATAACTTCTTTGCATTCACAAGGCCAGGAGTGTGGGCGAGTTAAGACTATCTTTCATTAACTCGGATGCACCGAGGCTGCCTTTGAGGCACTCGGAACCGTCAACCAGGGAATCAATCTCGGAGTGATTGAAGGAAAACACTGTGCGGTAATTGCTACAAGTGGGACTGGAAGACATGACTGGGGTGCTCAGAGACTCAAGGTCGCTTGCCACGGACTTGTACAGGGTTTCCCAGTCTGAGAGGCAGAAGGGCCCACTCAGGTCAGTACTCTGTAGTATGTCAGGGACAGATGCGGCCGTCTCGGGCGTCACTTCCATCTGTATGCTGGGCACCAAGTCATCCAAGTCATCTCCTTTCAGTTCCTCCAGAGCCTCCTCTTCTGCGCTGGAACACAAAAGGATGTTGGAGTTTCCCAAGATGGCTGCAGCAGGGATGCAAGGGACACTGCTCATGTCTTGACCAATATGGGCTTCTCCAGCTGTGCTGCTCTCTGGGGTTTTTCCATTCTCTAAAATGGAAAGCAGCTGCGGGGAGTCCGGTGGATCCTGCAGCATTGTGTCAACATCATCTTCCTTATCATCCCCCTCATCATCATCACCATTGCCGTCATCATCTGAGGAGAGTTTGCAGGACGGTTGGTGAGAAGCTAAGACATGCTCTAGTCTCTCTTTCTCCTTTAGCAGGTTGGCAATCTCTGTCTCCAGGGTGGACTTTTCTTCTTCTAAAGTATCAGTTTCCTGAGGGAAAGAGGGAGAAAGAGAAAAGAAAAGAGCATGAGCAAAGCACAAAAAAAAAACCCTAAACAAAACAAAAAAAAACTATGTGGCTCTACCGCTCTGCTTCGCTGTTGTGAACTGAGACATTATTCATCTTTGGAAGTATTCATATACTGTGAGAATGAATCCTCTACAATGATTTAACAAAGCATTACTTACAGCTTGAAGGGTCTCTATCAGCTCCCTCCGCCTGTTACGACACTTGGCTGCCGCAATTTTGTTCCTCTCCCTCCTGATCCTCCTCCTTTCCTCCTCCTCTTTGGAAGGCTAAAATCAATCAGAAATAGCCCATTAATTTAAACGCTCATCCCACTAGGTCTTGCCATGTCGGCAGTTGGCTCTTAAACACCGTTTCTTGTGCCAAAGTGAGAGAGAGAAAAAATCTCCTATGCAGTGAATGCCGATGTGGTCGGTGAAGACTCTCAGTTCAGGCGTTAAAATGCTGCACCACTGGCACGGTCTAGCCAGTCACGTGAACGCGCATTGCATGCAATTTCCTATCCCGCACATAAACAAGGCTGAGCTCGTTACCCCCGCCAAAGTAACCGCTCTGCACCAATTAAACATGATCAAATCGGCTTATGACTGACTCCCCGCAGCAAAATATTCAGATCAATCCGCTAACACTTTATTTCCCCACGACAGGGAAAGAAAAAAAGCAGTTAATTGCCTCCCGTCCCGCTAAAATATCGCGATATCTCAGTTTTCACATTAAGCTTAATGAGTGGAAACGAGGTCGTTGGGGATGGTGTGGGGATCGGGGCAGAGTGCTCGTTTGCTCGCTGTACTGACTGATTGATTGACTGGTTGATTGACACATCAGCATCACCGCCCACCCCTCTCTTCTCTTTACCTGCTCTTTCGGCCCTTTCCTGTTGCTGGCTCTCGCCTTGTTTGCACCTGGCCGGGAAGACGACTGGGTCGCTGCATGAGTTCTGGGCTTTGCACGGCAGGGCGACGGAGAGGCAGATGTGATGACTGTAGGCTGCACAATCCACTTTAGTTCTGGCGATGTTGAGATTGCAGTCACAGTCGGAACAAAGGAGGCTGCTGCACTGGTCTCAGTATCCTGGAAAAACCCACACCAGACAGACATGCATATGCATGCAGTAAAATACTAATTTAGCGTATCTGACAAATGGGTGACCACGTTATTGGCTGACCTTTAGCAATGTTTAAATGTTACATCAATCATTTGTCCAAGGAATGTCAAAGAAGACAAAAAAATCTGCTCTCTGTAAACACCTCAGAACCAGCCTCGCATCCTCATCAGTTTTTATGATAGATGAAAAAAAAGGTTGCAACGAAGACTGTGAAGCAGACAGCAGTACAAACAGTTTTATTTAAATAATAATATCATTGCGCTGTTTTTGCATGTTTGTTTGTTTGTTGGGGTATTTTTTTAGGGATTTTCTACAGAGATACGCATGTTTTTCTAGTCATTTTTCCAACACGGGATAGTAATCCTGCTAGGGGAAATGCAGTGCATGAAAATGACTTCATAAAAATGTGAAGAATTTGAGGAATGCAGTTCTATCACCCGCATGCGTCAAACACAAGATTACGCTTTGTGATCAGGTTTTTGTGTGTGTAATGATGAGATCCGGCTCTACCTTGGTGCTGTCCACTGATGATGAAAGCGAGTCAGGAGGATGCTGACTGCACCCAGGGGTGTCCCCGCCAGGCGATGCTGTGCTACAGCTGGACGATAAGTCGAACTCAGTGCTGGAGTCTGGATGCATGGTTTCATTAAAAAATAAAAATTCAAAATAAAATTAAATCACCGCATAAGAGACTGAACAGTCAGTCTGTGCTAGACAGAAAACGGATGTCACGGACGCCTATATTCCATTTGCCAGGTTCATAACTGTGCACATAGTGGAGAGGCCCGCCTTTTATAGTGAGCTGGAATTTTATGAATGAAATCTGTGTGGTGAGACCGAACCATTTCACCGAGGGAGAAGTGACTGGAGAAAGGGGTTAGCAGATGGGTTTTTTTACAGTTCAACAATCAAATCACTGAAGTGCGTAAAAATCAACACTAACCCATTGTTTAATTTCAGCTTATTATCAGAACTCAAATGTTTTTTTTAAAAAAGTGTGCACATAGAAAGTGGCACCCCTCCCTCCAAAAGGTGCCCACCGCCATGAATGAACTACGTCACTCCATGTATGCAGCATCTGCATCACAGGCTATATGTTCCCGTCATGCCCTCAGATGTTCTCGACATTTACCCTTTGTTTAATGCTTCTGGGCATTTACGGTAACACGAGCTCTCAATGCATTAGAAGGAAAGTGGAGGCAGTGTAATAGGCTTCATTAATAAATGGTTTTAAAATAGCCAGTGTGGTGCTTCCCCGATTCTTTCTCCTCCAAACTGTCCACATTAGAACAGTGATTATGCACTAATGTTCCAACTTCTATTTATAGACACAAAATAAAATCCGGCATTAATTTAATTCTTTCACAAAGCTTCCAGCACACTGTCTGATTATTTATAAGCCGTCAAAATTAAGTGTCATTCACGTATCACATTGCCTTTCACCTGTCTCTACATATGAATAGAGCTCCAGCAACAGAACTGTCGCTGAAGCCAAGCAGCCAATCGCCGATGGACCGGTCGAGCCATATATGGTATTTCCGGGAGGAGAGGGGGAGAGGGGGGGCCTGCTGTGGCACAAGGATAGCGCGCAGACGGACGCTGCCGGGCTGTGTGTGGCCCACTCACTCACTGCCGCAAAAAGAAAGTAAAACAAGCTCTCAGAGACTGACCCTATGTTGTACCTGATATCAGCGTCATCAGCTGCGCCAAGAATGCCCGCACAGGCGTTAGTTTGAGGATGCGAAGGATTTGACCCACCTTTCCATATAAGGGTGGCAATTAGGTGCAGCCGCAGATGTGCAAAACACACTCACGAGGGAATCGGAGAATTCAAGAAGGCCAGTGACTGATATAATTTCTAGACAGGAGCAACGTGACTTACTTTCTCACAGACTGTAATGCAGTTTATCGGCACCAATTAAAGCCCGGGCTTTAATTGATGTTCCCGCATAACCTAATTCTGCTCCCATAACAAGAACTTGCGGGCTGGATTGGGCTATATTTAGGTTTCATGTGACCTCACGAATCCACCCAAGTGAAAGGGATAAGCGCTGGATAGAGTGAGAGGCTCCCCCCCCCTGTTTGCTCTGTGCTCCCGGGTACTTCCCGGCAGTGGCAACCCCCCCGCCTTGGGCCCTATTTACCGGCACATCACTATTGGTGGTCGGCTTGAGCGGCCTGGGACAAAACGAAGTTCAAAGGTCGAACAATACTCACCTCTCAGCACATCTCTAACAGTCGTCTTCTTCAAAGCAACTTGAGCGTGAATGCGCAAAGACTGTGGAGTTTATTTTTAGATCCACTGGCATCCAAGTTCACGGTCATTTTAGTGAACTGTTCTCCTTTGAGGAGCCAAAGAGCAGCGATAAAAAATTAAATAACTTCAGCTATTAGATAGAGTTTAAATACTTTCAAAAACAGCAATAAAAATATTTTTTTTCTTTTAGAAATTGCATTTCTTTCTTTCTTTCTTTCTTTCTTTCTTTCTTTCTTTCTTTCTTTCTTTCTTTCTTTCTTTCTTTCTTTCTTTCTTATTATTATTATTGTTATTATTATAATTTTATTTCGATTAAATTATCATTCCAACGCGAAATAACACCAGCAAAAACCATGTCACTCAAACAGTGCAGGTCAGCAACCTTCATGCCAACCACTCAAACAGAACTCAAACACCGCTCAAGGTAAACGGCTTGTTTGGTGTCCCGTTCCATTCCGTTGACCCGCCAGCCACAGCTGGATCCGCAGACACCGAGGAAAGGGGAGGACTGCCAGAGACTTGAAAACACTCAGAGCTCTCACTCCGACGTCGTTTCCGGGAACGGCCCCTGACGTGTTCGTGTGCACGTTCCGTCTCCACAGGCGATGCCGAAAAAAACGGTTTGGTGTTTCTCTGTTGATGTGGCTCCTCCTCATGATTACACACGATCTTCTTTGCTATGAAAAAATAAAAACTAAATGGACGTCACTGACGCGAAAGGGGCTGGGCGTCGCTATGACAACCAGGAATGTTCAACAAAACACTGGCGCGGGAAAGAAAGCGCAAAATCCTATAGCCTGAATTAGAGTCTTTTGACACAATGACACCTTTGTTTAGTCTTTATGGTTTGTTTAATGGGACGAGAGCACTTATGGCGCTTGTTTTGTGCTTGTTTAGTTAAAGAAGTAAATTCCCGGAAGACTCACGAGAGAGAAAAAAAAGAAGAAGAATTGTGTTTCATAAAACTCATAAAATGCTTTGCTCGTGTTTTTTTATGTGCATGAATGTATCGCCTTTATTAAGAATAAACCATGAACAAAACTACCAGCAAAATGTTGCTGACTTTGGTAATATTGCACGAAAGTCACGATGCTTGTTCCACAGACCTACTTCTCAAGTCAACACGATAATAAAAAAAAGTGCTGATGTCAGAGAATGAACAGTTATTAAACAGCAAATGCAGTCGCAATGTTGGCTCACCGTTAAGCCTGCATTTCATGAATTCGTTTCATAGCTTCTTACGTAAATCTTGAGGATTCCCTCTGCTAGTGGCTTTGGGGAAGACCTTTACAATTAACTGCCACCCTCCCCGTCCCCTCCTTTGAGAAATGTAAACTGTCGTCGAGGAAACGTACACACAGAAAACCAGTTATCAGCTCGCTCTGCAGCTAAACACGCCCTGTTCTGGATTGCAGGCGAAAAGTACAAACAGTACCTGAGGGTGGAGAACATGTCACCCATGTCCTGACATGTAACGTTTATGTAGAGATATTTTAGACAATTCTATGAAACAATTCCATTGTAACTTACTGGATATAAACGCATGGGATTACATAAGAAAAATACATGGATAAAAAAATTAAATAAATAAGTAAATTAAAAGTCGGTTTAACAGACAGACCACAGAATCAAGTGAAAATCAATTACCCACCGTTTTCTCGCTTATTCTTATCTTTATTCTAATTATTCTTTGTACTTTGTGACCTACCTACACATACAAACATGGGCCTCCTGTGATTGTATGAATTGTCTTGCATTAAATGTGTAACAATTGATCAAATTAAACAAATTAAACACTTTAAAAATAGCCGATAAGTGAGTCAGTGAGTGAAGTTAGCGAGTACTTAAATAACATGTTATTTATATACCACCTTTTCAAGGTGAATATCACAAAGTGCTTAACTACAAGCCGAAAGTTTGCACGATAAAATTGAGTTTCTATATTTCAAAAATACAAATAAAAAAGGAGGCGCGCGGCTGGGGGAGGGGGTTAAAAAAAGAGAAACAGATTTTTATTTTTTAATGTGTTTGTTTGGTACGTTTTGTTCAGCACAGACACATTTGCATGTTTAATTGTGTCCCTGCTGTGTAGGACGCACTTTTCCTCTCTGTTATCTCAGTTCTTCAAGTTTTCACAACAGCGTCTGTGTTTGTTGTTTTACATAACGTCATGCCGCTGTCCGCCACTCTCAAGGTGTATTTCCCATCAGGCCCCGCCTCCTTCACAGGATGCACCATATATGGATACCTACGTATCGGGGATCCCGCTCCGGAATATTCCATTTCTTGAAGACGAGTTTTAGAAATAAACATTTTAAATAGTCACTTATCACCTGTAAATGACTCATTCGTGACTCGTGCAAACAAAGTGTATTGAATTTAAATGGAGGGCGAGGAAAAGTCGGTGTTATTACTGCGTTGTTAAGTCAGTGTTTTGGTGTTTTTTTCCTTCCTGGTGTCGGGTGAACGGCACACCCCTCTCTACGTCAGCAGACACACTATAAAAAAGGCCCAGCTCGGAGAGTTGGCAGTCTAACTTTGAGTAGCAGAACAGCGACTAAAGAGAACTGATCGGGAGCAGCGCTTGAAGAGTTTTCTCGCAAACCCACTAAAGGACTATCCTGACCTCAAGTTTACATTCGTCCTTAGTAGAGTTTGTCCGGATCTTCTTATTTGCTTAAATTTTTTTTCGAAAACAAGGAACGATGATGTTCAATTTCAACGCGGATTGCGACTCTTCCTCTCGCTGCAGCACCGCTTCCCCGTCCGTGGACACTCTGGGATATTACCCGTCACCAGCGGGATCTTACTCCAGCATGGGATCTCCCCAGTCTCAGGTATGTCCGCTTAAACATTGTTAAATCTTTACAACACGCTATTTCAGCTCAGAAAGAACCTGTTGGAGATTTGAATGTTTACTAAATTAAACTGACAAAGCTTAAATTTGATGTTTTCAAATAATAATAATGGTAATAATGAAAAAGGCTGGCTTGAAATTAAGTTTATATATATATATATATATATGAAAATAACTCTGACCTGCGCACCACACAGTGCAAGGCAAGCTTCATTCATCCACCTGGAAACTCCATAGAGAGAATGTAACGTCATAGCTGACATCATAAGGATATTTTTAAACCATCCAGCTTTTTATAGACCCTCCGTGCTTCATTCATAGACATCTTGCAATGCTGCCACCCCTCCTGATAATGTACCAAACGTCCTGACGATCTCCTTTTTTACTTCATTTCCTCCAGGATTTCACAGACCTGACAGCATCAAGTGCCTCCTTCATCCCCACAGTCACAGCCATTTCCACAAGCCCAGATCTTCAGTGGATGGTCCAGCCTGTGGTCTCCTCAGTGGCCCCTTCCCACGGAGCTCACCCTTACACCTCCAGCCCTAGCCCTGCATACTCAAGAGCAGTCATGAAATCTGCAGTGTCCAGGGCTCACAGCAAGAGAGGCAAAGTGGAACAGGTAATTATCATTCGTTCATGAAGTGTTATGTATATATATAGACTAAGATTATTAAAGAGCAGGGGTCCTAACTTTTACCTTCTATCATGTGCAGATGACACCTGAGGAAGAGGAGAAGAGAAGGATTCGCAGAGAGAGGAATAAGCAGGCAGCAGCAAAATGCCGCAACAGGAGGCGAGAGCTTACAGACACTCTGCAAGCTGTAAGTATCCCATCAGATTTACCATCACTCATTGAAACATGTTTATTGTCAGAGCTATAGCAGAGCTATCCAACAGCCAAGCTGATGCAACTTCCTCCATTTCTCTCTCTTACAGGAAACTGATATCCTGGAAGACCAGAAATCCAACCTGCAGAATGATATCGCCAACCTGCTGAAGGAGAAGGAGAGGCTTGAGTTCATCCTGGCTGCCCACCAGCCCATTTGCAAAATCCCCTCTGAGCTGGGCACAGACTTCCCCCTGACCTCCCTCTCTCCTACCCACTCCTGCCACTCCATTGCAGTGTCCACCCAGCCACAGATCACCGTCTCTCATACACCCGCTATCGCTTCCAGCCAGTCGACCTTCACCTCAACCTCCAACTCCATATTCTCCAGCACCAGCGCCGCCCTCTCCACAGCCACCGTCTCTAGCAGCACAGTCAAGATGTCAGACCTGGAGTCCTCTGTCCTGGAGGAGTCTCTGGATCTCCTGGCAAAGACGGAGATGGAGACGGCACGGTCTGTGCCAGAGGTCGACCTGTCCAGCTCCCTCTACACGGGTCAGGAGTGGGAGGCTCTTCACACCTCAGCTAATACCAATGACTTCGAGCCCCTGTGCACACCTGTAGTAACCTGCACCCCAGCCTGCACTACCTACACGTCTTCATTTGTATTCACCTTCCCAGAGGCAGAGACCATCCCCACCTGCGGCGTCGCCCACAGGAGAGGAAGCAGCAGCAATGAGCAGTCCTCCGACTCCCTCAGCTCACCCACCCTGCTGGCCCTCTAAAAGACTGTACAAGAAACAATGATTCTTCCGATCAACGCACACTTTCTTACGTAGATGTGCCGATCACAGGGCTATGGAACAGACTTATATTAAATTATTTATGATTTTTATCTGCCTTTATCTATACTTGCCTATAACACCAATGTAGCAAGTTTAAAAAACAAAAACAAAAAAAACCCTCCCCGCATGTTTCAACTAATACCACCTAGTCGTTATATGAGTTCGTATATGATTTATATGGTGCTAGATAACATAACTTGTTGTTTATCGATGTATGTTCAGAGCAATAGTTATTATTGATCCAGTTTGTTTTCTGGTTAATGGAATGTGAGAGTTAACATGTGAATTGTTTGTGAAATTTTAAAAAGAGAAAAACAAACAAAAAAGAAACACGTGCATTGTCTTAACCATGGTCTGAGTGGTCTATCCAAAGTTTTCTGTGAAAACATTAGTCCTTTTAATTTATTAAATTTATTTTTTTACACATAGAGGAATAGAGAAAGAGATAGTAAAGAAGAATGTTGTTTGTAAGATATGTAAATAAAAAGATAGTGATATTTCAATTCAATCATCTGTGCTGGCTGGGTGTGTTGCTTTCCTCTCACGATATCCACACACACACACACACACACACACACACACACACACACACACACACACACACACACACACACACATATGTATTTACATATTTATTCAGTTCAAGTCAGGTGTATTCATCAGTCACCTCATGGGGCAAGCACTTTGCGACAGCGGGAAGGAAAAACTCTTTTTAACAGGAAGAAACCTCCCGCCGTGTTTAGGGGAAGAGAGGCAAAGGAAAAATAATTTTAGAAAAGATGAAAGAGAAGAGAAAAAGAGGGGAATATTCTCAGGAGTGGTAAATTAAAAGCATTTCCAGTAAAATGCTTTCAAAAATTATTAAAATAATGCTAAAATTAGCTTATATAAGGCATAGCCATCTTTTTTCCCTGTACCTCCACTTGCTCTATTTATTGTTCCGCCTGTTGCCAGGGTTAACTATGTCAGTGGCTCTTACGTCAGTGCGTTCTTTCCATTTTTTTAATCGCAAGCCGTGCGCGATGACGTTTGGACTTCCGTGCCCAAATATAGGGCTCTGCGAGGAGTCTGCTGCTCGCTGCCGCCTGCCAACAGAAAGTAACCGGGCAGCTCGGTCAGCGCTTTCCCCCCCCGCTAAAACAGATATACGCTCTCTTCTTTCGGCTTTTTCCCCTCTGCCGGTCTCAGGGAGAGCCGATTTAATCACCGACATCTGTGATAAAAAGATGAAAAAGGCTTGCTGCACACTGCTTTCGTAACCGATGCGACACGTTTCTCACGTCCAACCGTGCGCGCGCGCACACACGCAGACACAGACATACGCACGCGATCTGTAGTTGTGCAAGGGAACTCGCAGGAGGATCTGAAAGTGACGTTTTCAGCCACAATATACGATGGTTTAATTAATTCTCGTGCATCAGAAGGCCCCCGATTAGCCAAAACATCACCTCCCACAGAACAAAAGACGTGCGAGTTACAGCATAATTCGAGGAAGAAAAAAAAAGGAAAAAGAGGAGTCCTCAGAAATAATTCATAAAGGCACAGACAGCATTGTCGACCTATTAAATGAACTTCTGCATGAGCGATAAGGGTTTATTTTTATGCTGTGACTGTATGCTAAATGTGGATCTTGTTGAAGCACATCTGTGCCAACATGGATGCTGAAGTGACAGCATGACATCCAAATGCCATTTGTTAGTTAAAAAGGTCACCTGATGTGGAAGATCTAGAAATGAAATTGTCATATAATCTAGTATAATCTCCCCCAATGCTTACCCCCATAATTTGTGTATGCAGTATGAATTAAAACTGAAGGTCTGGGGGTGGGGGCATCTATTGCCTCTTGTTACGCAGGAGACCATGAAGGCAATAAATGCATCACTTATGCAGTAATCATTGATCATTTCAGATAAATCTCGGTAGTGTGTTTTGTGTGTGTTTTTTTCCATTGGCATCTCTGCAGATTAATTATTCTGCTTTTATTGCTCCTCACTGTGTCATCAGACCTCTCCCAGCCTTCTCATCTTGTCTGCATGTCATTCTCTCACCTCATTTGCTCATTTCACCTTGTACCACTATTTCATCATGTGCAGAATCATCAAAAGGCAGGTTGCCTAATGGCTTCACACAGGAAATGCGTGGTGTGTCTGTGTAAAAGACATGCTTGGTGGAAGACTACTGTCGCACAATAACCAACCAGCTCTGACGTTGGAGGCCTTCCAGTGTGGTCACACCCTTTTTTTTGTAAAGCCACACAAGATGTCAGCAGTTGTTGCTGCTCTGCTTCCTGGTTTCAGGGCCTGCTTTCAAATGAGGAACAAGTTTAATATCGCTCAAAGCACTGAAGTAGCAAAATATGGTGTTCTTTATGAGATTGGCTTTTATAGGGTTTCTTGCTTTGTCCTTGCAGTGCCGTTGCATAACAGCCTATTTCTCAGTATCTGTTTTCCTTTACTCTTCAGCAGTACCCCCCCCCCTTTCCTCAATAAAGCTTCCGTGTGCGACCATGCAGCATCTAATAACTCTGTTTATTAATACCCCTTTTGCGGGCTCGGGGAGATGGGGTAGCTGCAGAAATAGCAGGTGCCTATTGCTTCTTTTAACATCAGCATCAACAGCAGT